TGGTTCTGGGGCTAAAGGCCAGAGAAGCAGACACACCATGGCCTTGAGGCCCTACAGGTCTCCATGAAGAACTCATGCCTTAGGAAGTGGGAGCCCCTGATGGCTCTGGAGGGAAGTGACCTGGTCGGATTAAAAGCATACTCTCTGTCACTCCCGACAAGAACTGCAATATCTGGTAAGAAATAAGGAGGCATGAACTGGGGCAGTGGTAACAGGGGCTGAGGGGAGGGACAGATCCGAGGACTATTTGGAGGTCAAGTTGGCAGGATGTTGTGATTGTACAAGAGAAGAGTCAAGAATTGATGACCTTCAGGTCTCTGGCCTGAACAACTTGGTGGGTGATGGTACCACCAGTTAAGAATATAAAAGGAGCTTCTGGGCGCAGTGGCTCACACCTGCAATCCCAGCACTTTGGGAGGCTGAGGCAGGCGGATCACTTGTGATCAGGAGTTCGAGAGCAGCCTGGCCAACATGGTGAGACCCAGTCTCTACTAAAAATACAAAGATTAGCCAGGCATGGTGGCTCGTGCCTGTAGTCCCAGCTACTCGGGAGGCTGAGGCAGGAGAATCACTTGAACCCAGGAGGTGGAGGTTGCAGTGAGCTGAGATCATGTCACTGCGCTCCAACCTGGGTGACAGAGCAAGACCCTGGTCTTGTGTGTGTGTGTCTGTGTGTTTATATATATATATATATATATATATATATATATAATTTTATATTACATATAATTGGCTTATTTTATATAAAATATATACAAATATACATTTTATATACAAAATATACATTATATATTTATGTATAAAATCTGTATTATATATTATATATACAAAAGCCAATTTCAGGACAAAGGTGGGTTTAATCTTGGACATGCCAATTTTGAAAAGGCTCTGGGGTGCTCAGGAGCACAGTCCAACTGGGAACCAGATATGCAAGTCTGCAGCTTGGGGGCTGGTCAGGGCTGGGTAAGATAGAGAAGTTTGAATAAACATCATGAACTGCAAAACAGAATAAACTTCCAAGCAGAGTACTTACAAATTAAGTTTTAGATTGAGCCAAGTAGGCTGAGCATGGAAGCCTGGGAAACCAACATTCAGCGGGAAGGGAAGGGATGGTCAGAAAGACTAAGGAGGCCCACGAGGCCAGGTCCCAGGAGCCAAGCGAAGAGCGTTATGGAGGAAGGATCAGCACCACCAGTATAGTGGAGAGGGCCAGAAGGACAAGGACCAAAGACACCCTCTGGACTTGGTGCTCACAGAGCCAGCTGTGACCTTGCTGAGCGCAGTTTCAGAGGCGTATGGAGGGCAAGGTCAGCTGGCAGAGGCGTGGGGTGAATGACCGAGGGCACAGAGATAGGGAGGAGACTCCACTGTGGCCAGGGCTGGACCTGAAGCCCCTGGAAGTCTCTTAGGACAAAGACTCGAGCATGTTACTAGGCTGAGAAAGCCAGTAAACAGGGTAAGGTTGGAGAAATGGTGGAGGCCCCAGGCAGTATTTGGGGGGGTTTGGAGAAATGGTGGAGGTCCCAGGCAGTATCTGGGGGGGGTTGGAGAAATAAATAATGGAGGTCCCAGACAGTATTTTGGGGGGGGTG